CCCAGCGCAGTGTCTGTGGCCTCAGTCACCTTCCTGTGCTCTGGCTTCCTCTGTGGGGACCCCACAGCTTCCTATCAGATCGTGAGGTTCCTGTGGGGCAGCTAGCCACACCCGACAGCTACTCCTCCTTTCTCAGTCCCCTTTCCAGGCTCCAAGCATCCTTCCCCCCTGGAGCCTGGGAGCGAGGATTCCACATGAGTCCAGCCTCACCTGGCCGCCACCTTCCACGGCCCCAACCCCCTGCAACCCTCGGGCGAGTCCTGTTGGTCCCCCTTGGGGCCAGGCCTGTGCCTCTTCTTGCCCCACCGCAGCCCTGAATGGCTCCGAGCCACCGTGGTGGGATCCTAGCGAGAACCCTTACCATTTGGCACGCTGACGGAGCGCTCTGGGAGGTCACTGGCATTGTCGATCACCGAGAGAGTGACCTCGTAGGTGGCAACCAGCTCCCGGTTGAGGGGGGATTTGACCATCACAGACCCTGTGGACCAGACCAGGTCAGGTTCAGTTGGAGGGGAACCCCCTAACATCGGGGCCTCCCGGGGTGCTCCTGGCCAACCCCTCCAGTCCCTAAAGAGGGCAGTAGTCCTCGGTGGACCCAGGACTTGTGGCTGGGACGGTCCACCCTTGGGGACTTGCCCCCCACTTAATGCTTACTAGCCAGGCGACCTCCGTAGGTTACTTAACCTCTCTGCACTTCCGTTTCCTCACACGCAAAAGGGGGAAATTCCAGCACCTACCATACAGGGTTATTTTGAGGATAGGAAAAGTCAAATTTCCATTTACAAAGTACTCGGGGCTGCGCCCAGCTTATAGAAAGTGCTAGGGTGATTTTGTTTAAAAATACTTATAATCCACAACGACACGAACGTCCTTAACCCTATCCCACTGCGTACTTCAGATGGCTCAGGAGGTCAATTTTATGTGCGTTTTGGTCACAATTTAAAAAATTCATATGTTGCAGGGAGATCAAGTATAAAGGAAGGTCACAGCAGCTGAAAAGCCATGAGGAGGGTCCCTGAAGGTGACCACATGGTGGGATGGGCCCTTTGTCTTAATGATTAAGTCGGTGTGAACTGGGCTGATTGCAGGACAAGAAGGTTGACTTCACATTGGTATCAGCAAGCGAGCGGGGCCCAGTGGTGCCCCCCTATGATCCCGGCAGCTCAGGAGGCTGAGGCAGGAGGATCACCAGTTCAAGGCCAGCCTCAGCAACTTAGCAAGGCCCTAAGCAACTCAGCCAGACCCTGTCTCCAAATAAAATACCCAATGGGCCAGGATGTGGCTCGGTAGTTAAGTGCCATTGGGTTCAATCCCCAGAACCAAATAAATAAATTAATTAAATAAAAATCAGCAATCCGGTTCCTTCTCTTCTACCCACTGCCTCCCAGAGTCCCCGCCTACTCCCTGACCAGAGAAGAACCCTCCAGAACCGTGGGCTGGTCTGGACAGGCCTAGTTTGGCGGTCTCAGTGATGCCCCTGGGGGCGGGGTCTGTCTTCTCCTGCCTGCGGGGGCCTGGGGGCTCCTCCCTCCTCCATAGGCTGAGGACCCCTCTCCTCCTCAGGCCCTGGGGTCTCGGGCTCCCTTCCCCCTTGGCGGACCCCCTGGCTGGGCTTCTGTCCTCCATGGGTCCCCAGCCATGGAGGCCGTCACTTACCCTGGGCCGCCTCCTCCTCCTCCTCCTCCTCTTCCTACTCTCGCTCCCCGTCCCCCAGGCTGGGGAGCGAGGATGGGGAGAGGGCAGCTGCATTCAGTCTGCAAAGGCTGGGCCACGGCCTGGCCCGGCCCCCGGGGCAGGAGGGGTGGTGGGGTGCGGTGGGCATGGAGGAGGACAATGGGTGAAGCAGAGAGGAGATGAGGTGGGAAGTGACAGAGACAGAGCTCAAACCTGCGGGCCTGCCAGCCGTGGGGAGAGAAGAGGGTTAAGTCAGTTAGTTCAGGGGACGCGGGAGGGAGCGGAGCAGGGTGCGGGCAGGGGGCTCAGAGCGACCAGGGCAGGAGGGACAGGGCGGTGCAGGGAGAGGGGAGGGCCAGGAGAGGAGGAGCAGGTGGGAGCCCGAGGAGTGGACAGCCTGGGGCCAGGCTCCGGCAAGAGGGGCAGGGGGAGCCAGTGAGGTGGAAGAGCAGGAGGCAAAGGGCAGAGAAGACACTGGAAAGAAAAATAGAGAGAAGAGAGTCAGTAGGAGGAGGGAGGACAGAGAAGGCAGGAGAGCGGGACGTGGCGGCTCTCCATGGTCCTGAGTCGGGCACCAGGGGTCCAGGGCCTGGGCGGCCTCCGGCATAGATGGCTCTCCTTCTCGTCCTTGGGGCCCCCATCCAGACGGAGGTGACTGCACTCTGGCTATGGCACGCTGTGACCTCTGGCCCCTCTCACTTTAGTACCCCACTCCCTCAGTCTCCTTCCATAATCACAGCGATGTACTCGCCTGCATTTTTATTTAAAAATCACATGAAAACTGTGCGATGTTTTTAAAGACATTAATGCAAATGCTATGGAGGTATCTCTCTCACTCTATTCCTTGATCTTTCTGTGACTGCTGTAGATCCACCCACAGTGCTGCGTGTCTGCTCAACTGCATGGCACCCCACGGACCCACTGATTTTTTACTCTCTAGGCTCCTAGGGATGGATACTTGCGTGGCCTTCGAGTCCCACTAGCACCTCTAACACTGCTGTGAACACCCACAGGCAGTCCCACGATTGCCCTGAGGATTTCTCTGGGACGTATGGTAGATCCGGGGGTCTTAGTGGACCTCATGCTGGATCGTCCTGATGGTGGAATCAGTCCCAACTACTAGAGTAATGCACGAGGGTTCCAATGTTCCCACACTATACCAACATCGCCAGGATCCTTATGTCTGCTATGGAGATACTTCACACGTGGGAAATGTGAAGTATCTCCATAGCAGGGACTCACTGCCGAGTCCCTGCATGTTTCTCTGAATAACAATGACTTTTTAGCCTTCCGTCACAGCCATGTTAATTTTTCTGACACTCCTTTGGCCCTTCCGAGAAGTGTGCTTTGGAATATCCATGTCCCTTCTCTAACTGGCTAGAGAAGCCAAAACACCAAGCTGTTGGGGAAGTGGCGCAATCCAATTGTGCTAAGCTGCGTCAATGGTGAAAGATAAGCTTCAGTCCCCTTTGCTTTGTGACTTTAAAATAATGCTATAGTTTCAACTTTTTGTCTGTTACTTATGAGAAAATTGTTACTTATAAGAAAATCATTAATAGTACAAATGGATTAGCTTACAAATTTAAATGGCCAGTGTACGTGGGAAGAAAGCACTGGTTTGAACCTAGTTAGTAAAGAAAAGCATATTAAAACAAGGTGCCATTTTCCTTTAAAACACAAACATTCCACAATACGGAGTGCTGGCATGGATGTGGTGAGATGGGCACTCTCGTGCAATACTGCAGAGTGACAGAGCCAGGAGGGACAGAGATGCTGCTTGAGGGAGGAGGAAGGGGGAGGGAGAAAGAGAGAGAAGAATACAATATTAACAGGGAGAAAGGAGAATAGAAGGAACTGTGTAGGAAGAATAAAGGAAGGAAGCAGGGAGCCAGAGTCCGGGCAGGAGTCGGGGGGCGGGGGGAGCAGGCCTGTACCTGTGTTGATATTCACGGCGAAGGCATCCTCCTGGTTGGGCACCAGGCGGTCGGTGTCATCCTTGGCCACGATGTCAATGATGTGGTACTCCAGCTTTGGGTTGAGGTCCAGGTCGATGGCGGTGACGTTGGCAATGACGGAGCCTGGCTCTGCCGACTCCAGCACGCTCACCGTCTGGATGGGGTTGAGGAACTCGGGGCGGGAGTCATTGATGTCATCGATCAGGATGGTGATGATGGCTGTGCCCGAGAGGGGGACAGTGCCCCGGTCGGTGGCCACCACCATCAGCCTGTAGGCTTCCTGTTCCTCCCTGTCGATGGTGGCATTGCCCACTCGGATGACCCCAGTGACGGGATGGATGAGGAAGCGGTCCTGGGCCCCGGCTTCTATTCGGTAGACCAGCTCTCCATTGAGGCCACTGTCCTCGTCCGTGGCTGTGACTTGAAGGACCGAGAATCCTGTGGGGGGAGGAGTAGCGAGCATGAGACCCCCCCAGCAGACCAGGCCAGCACCCCTTTACTGCAGTGCACCAGGGACACCTTCTCACCCTACTATTTCCAGCATTTATTTAAAAAAATTTTTTCATGTTTGAAATTTTATAGAAAAATATATGGTTTTGGTCCTGGGGCTTGTACCCAGGGGTGCTTTACCACTGAGCCACACGCCCAGCCCTTCTTATTCTGTTTTGAGCAGGGTCTTGCTGAGTTGCCGAGGCTGGCTTTGAACTTGGGATCCTCCTGCCTTAGTCTGCCGAGTCGCTGGGATGACAGGTGTGCACCACACCTGCTCCTACCTTCTCTGATGAGGCAATATTTTATAATTTAATGTCAGTTGTACCTTCTGAAAAGCATCTGCTTTTTGCCTTCTGCCCTTTTCTGTTGATTTATACAAATTACTGTACACAGTTAAGAAAACCTCTGTGGCGTGTGTACGGGTCTTTCAAAGGCTCATGTGCTAGAGGCCCGATTCTCAGCCCAGGGCACTATTAGAAGGTGGGGCCTAGCTGGGGTCTTCCAGTCACATGGGAGTGTGCCCTAGAAGAGGATCTTCCGTTTTTTTAAGTTGATCATCTCAGACTTTTTGTTACAGTAATGAAAGTTGACTGATACAGTAACTCAAGACAAAAAACTTTTTCTCTGTTACTTATGACAAATCTCTTTTTCTCAGTTACTTTTTACTCAGTTACAGTATTGGTCATCATTGTTTTTTTTTTAATTTATTTTTTTTTAGTTTTAAGTGGACACAATATCTTTATTTTACATTTATGTGGTGCTGAGGATTGAACCCAGGGCCTCATGAATGCTAGGTGAGCACTCTACCACTGAGCTACAACCCGAGCCTGATCGTAATTGTTTAACATAAATAGAAGTTTAAAGAAGTTTATTTTTTCGTGGGGCTGGGAATGGAACCCAGGGCCTTGCACATGCTAAGCACAAGCTCTACACCAAGCTTCACCCCCAGTTACCCAGAAGTTTTTTCTAATGTACTGAAATTTAATATTTTCTTTGAGTTCTTTTTTTTTGTGTGTGTGTGTGGGGGGTGGTACCAGGGATTGAATTTAGGAGCGTTGACCCCTGAGCCACATCCCCAGCCCTATTGTGTATTTTATTTAGAGACAGGGTCTCACTGAGTTGCTTAGCGCCTCACTTTTGCCGAGGCTGGCTTTGAACTCCCGATCCTCCTGCCTCAGCCTCTCCAGCTGCTGGGATTATAGGAGTGAGCACAGCTATCTTCTGTTTCTTTTATGCTTAAAACCTTTGTACCCAGAAATCAGATAAATACTTGTCCAATTTTCTTCTTTTAGTTTTTAAGCATTTTCTACTCTTCTACATATTTTTTTAGAATGTAGAAGTATTATTTTGGTGTCTTATATGAGGTGAGATTCTACACCATTAGATCATATGTAATTAGATTGCATGTAGATTATATGATCTAACATACTAGATAATAATTTTTTTCTCACTAAATAGCTTTCCCCAGCAACAAGAACAATAAAAAGCTGAGGCTCGGAGAAGGGAGTGCAGGGGTTGGGTTCCCCAATCACATGCAGCCCATCCCTCCCCCACTGGGGGGTAAACCCTGCATCCACCTGGACCTCCCACCCCCAGTGACCCCAACCCGCTCCTGGCAGGGAACCAGGGGTGGGGTCTGTCTTCTGCTCACCTGGTGGGCAGTTCTCCAGCAGGTGGGCAGTGAGGGTGGCGGGGCTGAAGGTGGGCCAGTTGTCATTGTCATCCAGGATGGCGACGAGCAGGTTGGCCGTGCCATTGAGCAGCCCTATGTCCTCGGCTAGCAGCACCAGCTCCAGGACAGGCGGGGAGAAGGCCTCCCGGTCAATGAGGACCCCTGACCTCACGGTCACCACACCTGGTGCAGGGAAAGGAGCGCAGTGGGGACAGAGATGAAGGGAGCAGAGAAGATGTCCCAATGTGTCTAGGGAGGCCCCGCGTTCTCTATGTGGCTCATGGGGGTGCCCTCTGTGCCTGCAAGAGTCCAGCCTGGAGACCGACCCAGGACAGGATGGACCCGCTCCACGGAGGTGGATATCTGTCACCCATTGGCCTTCCGTCCCAGATGAGGCCGATGGGACATGGTTTCTGGGAGCTGGTCTGGGCGGAGGAGGGGGCAGCTGCTTTGGCGGCTCCTGTGTGACCCAGGTCCTGGGAGGGGAAGGGCAGGGCTGGGGCTCTGCACTCAGGCTGAGAGTTTGGGCACCAGCTTCCTTCTGGTCCCCCTGCCTGGCCCCTGGGTGGCCTCGACCAGCTGCACTATGGGGATGTGGGCTGTGAGGAACGGGTCCTGGTGGGCGGCCTGGATCAACCTGGACCTGAGCAGGAGGCCCCAGATCTAGCAGCGGGGCCCGTCCACCCCAGAGCCCCAGCGGGAAGCCGGGGTGGTGCCCAGGCCTCACCCGTATTGTTGTCGATGTCAAAGAGGCCACTCTGGGGGCCCAGCAGCTGGTAGATGACCACGGCATACACATCCTGGTCCGCGTCCAGGGCCAGGATGGGCCCGTTGAGCACCGTGAGAGGGGTCCCTGGGCCAGGAGGAAAGGAGTCACCACAGGTCAACAGGGTCCCCCCTCCCTGCTCCCCGCCCCTGACCCCGTGAGCCATGGCTGACAATGGATGAGAGGGGAGGGAGGTGAGGCGGGCAGGGTGGGGAGGCCCGGCGGGCGGGCCTGCGGCAGCCTTGGCAGACTGAACGCAGATGCCTGGGGAGCGGCCTCAAAGCCCTGCTGGGAGAGAACACAGAGCGTGAGCGAGCCCAGCCGCGGGCTTCCCAGCAGCCTCTGAGACCGGCCACTCCACAGAGGGTCCGGGGCGCCCTTGTCCCTTCCCTGAGTGTGGGCCCCTCTGCCCCAACAAATCTAGAGCATCTGACTGCAGGTGGTGCAGGTGGGCCCCGTCGACGGACGTGAGCGTGCACAGCAGACCGGGGCCGGGATTCCTGGGCGTGCGGCGTCTGCCTTCTCTGGTGGGCACATCTGGCTTGTGTGTCACACACCCCTGTGCATCTATGCACACCCTAACCCCTGAGATGCCTCGACAGACATGAGCGCTGGCCCCCGCGGGAGCACGCACACAGGCAGGCTCCAGGCAGGGAGTCAGGACAGGAGCATCTCAGCGCTTCTCTCTCTGATCCCCCAGTCCAAGCTTTGGGGGCTGGGGAGGCTGGAGGAGAAGTGAGGGCGCACCTGGGGCGTGCCAAAGGGCAAACTCTGTCCCTGGGGAGGGAGATGTGGCTCATCTATGCTGGCCTCCTGGGACCTCCACATCTGATTAAAGCTATTCCCCAGAACTTCCAAACCAAAGGCCTGGCGGGCGCCCTTCCACCTTAAACACCCCTCTTTGGCAACAGTGGGGCTTATTCAGACCACCCTGGGGACCAAGCGCCACCCTGGGGACCAAGCGCCACCCTGGCTCCTTCAGCCAGTCCTGCAGTCTCTCTAGTGGCCCCTAAAAGGCCCAGCAGCTGTCCCCTCTCCCTAGCCCTCGGAACTGTGCCTGTCCCTTTCCTCTGACCCCCTTCTGCACCCCTG